ATTTTCATTAATTTAATTGAATTATTTCTAAAGCAAAACCTAAGTCTCAATTTGATTTGATTTAAAATCGTTTTTTAATTTTTAGTAAATTTCAAATCTAATTTCTTTAGAGATTTACATTATAAATGTTTTTAGTTGAGCGATTTATAATTTAGTTAGGTAAACATTTAAAGCGCAATTATGTAAACAAATAACATTTTATAATAAAAATAAGAATTAAACATAATTGTCAACTTTCTAATTCAAGTTTCGTTGAGATAAACACGCGTTGGTAACAATAAATAAATAAATAATCTGTTTTACTTCATTATTTTAACAATTTTATAATTATAAAATTAATTATTTTATTTTCTAACAATTATATAGAAGTATAAAATCATAACAGAGAGATAAGTAGAACTTTTCAGACTTTACATTTTACAGTTTATCTTTAATGGAATATTTAAAATTTGAATACAACGATACAAAGTATATATATTTATTTATGTAATGAATAAATGAAATTTTATAAAAGGAATTGCGTACATCTTATAGATTTTTATCAATTTTTTATTAGAAATTAGATTAGAATTATCTTGGGGAAAAACATTACGTTAATTTAAATTTAAGTATGATAGTGCGAATTAACTATGAATATATTATATAGTCGATTTTTTAATAAAATTCTATCGATTTTGAAGTTATAAATAGAAATTTCCCCATTAATTTTAGTCGGGAGTCAACCAGACTATTGGTTTTTAGAACTTACATAATTTAGAAGTTGCAGTCTGGAATTCTTCAAATAAATATTTACAGAACATAACAGCAATTGTTGCTTTTATTCCAGTAATAAAATTAGATCTAAAAACAAGTCACTCTTGAGTATTAATATATAAAATAATTCAATAATTACCTTCCATAATTTAAAAATGAACGATTTTAATATTTAACCCTTTAAAACCACGAAGAAGAGTACGATTAAATTTAATTTTGTTAGTCGAACGATAAGTTGAAGTTTGGAAAATATTCTTTCTGCGGTCAGATATCGAACACTTTAATTACCATGATTGATGCTGACCTTACATTGGGGCAAGTTGTGTGGTCCTGTCAGCGTGAGTTGATTATGGGAAATGTCAAGTCTTAATTATCATTTTAGCAAACTGTGCTACTTTGTCTTTAAATCCCAGAGGTACTGTTTATCCGCAGACCAAACACTTTCGAGTAGAAACCTTTCGATTTCTGTCCTGATAAGAGATAATTTGACATTGTGTATAGTTTCTAGTTAAATATTCCAAAAATTCTTTTATGTACTCGTTTCATTACGAATTAAATTTAATTTTTAATTTATTCTTTTGATTTCTAACTTAAAAATCTTATAATTTAGAGATCTGAACTTATCTATTCATAAGAATAAATGAGTTGATATTCTTAAATCATAAAGCAAGAATTTCAATCTATCTATTGATTTAAATAAATAAATTGAAATTCTTGTTGCTAATAGATTATTTGCTAATGTTTTTTAAAATTTATCTTATAATAAATTTTGCATGTTGAAATAGAAAACTCCGCAATTATTTTTATTACTCATTGATCAAGTGGAATTTTTTTGCACTTATCTTAACACTTTAGACAAAAATTTCAATATATACAATTAAACTGAATGATGTGCACGTTTCATTTACACTATTTATTCTTATTTTAAGTTCATTAAAATTTACTCTTGAAAACTTTTCAACAGAATATAACGTCTCTAAAATTCGCTTGCACTATCTTAATTATTCTTCTAATAAAAAAGAGAAAATTATTGTAGAAAAGTTTTCTTAATTTTCCATAAGAATAAAACATAATTTTTAAAAATTATTTGATACAATGTTAATTTATAAAAATTTCATTTACCGTATCCTAAATACAACTACATCTACTAAGTTTAATAGATGGCAAAGAGCTCAGTTTAAGAAAAATACAGTAAATAATGTATTTAAAAAATTGCAATTATTATTATCTTATGATAGACAAATTATACTGTGTTATGTAATTTAAATTGACATTTCGTGATAAAAATATAAAAGTTATTGTAGAAAAATTTATTTGTTCTCACCGACAGATCCGGTTGCTGAGTCATTTGTTTTGTATTGGACATCAGGTAGTTTTTAATTAAATATAAAAATTGATTATTAAAACCTATTGTGTTCGGTTTTCTTTTATCCGTATACTTTAATTAATGTCTGGCTGAGAAAAATTAGTTTTTAAAAAAATATTTGCATACTCGAGAATAAAGTTTATTAAAGATAGATACAGAGAGAGAAGGGAGTTCATTTATTCTGTAAAGTTTATACGTTCTGTACTTTCGAAGATGACATATTATAAATTCAATCGTGTCAAATGTGAAAGTAGCGACCAGTCCAAGTGTCTATAGTAATTGTTTGATCGATGTCAAGCCTCTCTAGAGACAAAGAGAATGGACGGAATAAAATACCAACCGAGAAATAGCAATCTCCGGTGTTCCCAATTCCGAAAGGTTTGCCAACTTTTTTATAGTAAGCATAATCAATATTCGACCTATTTGCAATGTAACTCACTTCTCAAAAGTACTTGGCATAATGTTTCCTCTTCATATAAATGTAAATATTTATTCTATTCTACGATAACAGAGACTATTAATATTGTATAATACGCCCTTTTAAATACATAATTCCGACCCTATTAAGCCATGATTGACACGAAGTTAGAGTCGTTAAGCGAAAAGTAAATTAAGGTCTTTCGAAGCGGGTAATATATAAATATTTATTAGATTATTCTCGGATTTTATTACGGCCAAAGAAAACTTTATTAATCCTAAATTGTTTGAATAATTCCTTTGCAGATGTTTCGTCGGGCATTTTTAACGTTTTCGTTTTCTCTTACAGTGGCGCATTATCCTGTGGATCTGGGGTCCCACCAACAGGGAACCCCAAACCAATCTTTTATAAATTCAATACTGTATTACTGTAGTAAGAATATCGAAATTTAAATATGGGTTCTATCTGTGTACCTTAGATAAAGGCACTGGGTGCACTGGCACAGCTCAGAGGTCTCGTTAAAAAACGAACGAGGATACCCCCAAAATTCCCCCAACAATAATGATTGAAGTTAGCACAGTACATGGTCCTCCAAATTCAAATTTTTGCCCGAGGGTCCCCGTGAATCTACAACTCGCCACTGTTCTGTTATCCTTTGCATTAACGTAATTTTTCATCGGGCGAAGTAAATTTATGCGTACGGAATATACATTAAAAATTAACTAAGTTAATGAACATTTGAACTATGAACTTTTGTGTCGAAAAGTCAGAAAAGAAGATTATCGTAAATTATCCAAACTTGAATACCATAACGGCGTGTAATTCTTATATTCCAGATGAGTTATTCAGAATGCGTAACAGAATGTTAGGCAAATTGAATTAAATTTGTTTACAAAGAACACAATAAGCGGTTTCTATTTACACTGGGCACAGAGGTAATTGTTGTGATAACAATTTTTTCCCAACTGGGTATACACGAAGAATTACATTTCCCTCTTATTTTTTACTCTGTTTTGTAAACTAAACTTCTACATATCGATGAATTTTAAAAGTTTCTAGCATATTTACGTATTATTCTCGGCTCTTGTATATATAAAAAAATTTCTAAATAAACGTGATATTTTATAAATATAGTTTTTATTTATGATACACCACAACCGGGGTACTTTATTTCTGACAAAAACACAAAAGTCGCGAAAAGTATTTCTTATATCTCTCTCAACTTACAATAAAGTCTGCATTTATCAGAAGGGGGAGGGGAAAAATTACTATAAAATTCATCTTAATGCCTTGGGCATGTTTTCGGGTTTGTTTGTGACTAAAAAAACAACTTATCTAACTCGGAGGTAGTCCACTTAATAGTTTCATAGTCTGCATACAAACTTTTTACTTATTTCACCACCACCCCCGCCGACACATCAGTTATTTTGATAATTTATTTACTCGTGAATTATGTAACAAAATAGATTTTTGACTGGCTTTATCGTATTAAACACTCGCTTAAATAAATGAAAAACAAGGAAAATAATTAACTATCCGATAGTAAATGAATCCAGGTATTAATCTTGACGTACTTTTATCGTTCAATCAGTAAACTGCATACACAGCATTTTAATATTGATTAGCAATATCAGCAATTAAATTATTTACAAAATTAAATCATATATATATTTGTTAAAGTAATAAATAAATGCAAATTTACCTACCTTTTTTTAAAATAAATAAATAAATTATAATTAAAATCGAATTAATTTAATAATACCTTAATTCGTATTAAGTAAATTATTATTAATTTTCGTTGTTGCGAATAATAAATTTATAATTGTAATTAATAGTTTTAAATGAATTCATTAGATATAATACGTAATAATAAACTAAGTTTGCCAGTTAGATCTGCCGTTGCATAAAGTTTGCGTGCAATGTTATACGGTGTAGCCACCATCCAGGAAATCAATGCTAAAATGTCATTTCGCTAGCTTTTCGCCGTTGATATTTCTGTATATGCAAATGAAAGAAAAATTCCGTGCTTTGCGAATGCATCATTTTCTCACGAATACCAAACTACTATCTGTTATTGACATTCATATAATTAATACTCGGCCTCCCCGCCCTAAGTTTTATATATACGTTAACATTTTTTTTTTAAATGCTCCCGCTATATTTCATTTTAATTATTTTTTAATGCATTATTATTATTAAATGTTTTATTAATAGGTATGTATAACACACGCGATTTATTCGCCATCTTATTTCCCCTTCCCCTCTCTTACTATTAAGCATACGACTCAATTGTTAGGCGCATACATACGATATATATATTTACCTATGTAGATATGGATGTCATATCATGCCAATTTCTTCACCGGAGAAGAATATAGAAGTGACCAGCTGGTATTTTCTCAATCGTTGATGTGGCGACCTCTGGGGAGACTTCGTCACAACGCGAAGCACACTAGAGAAGTATAGTCGCAGAGTTGCTCGGCTTAGTTTCTCCATCATGGATATACGGTTTCGATAGAAAATATTAAGGAATCTATACCGAAAAAAACATGAAGAAAGATGACTGGCAACGATTTCATTCCGTAAAAGGATATTTTTGGTTTAAAGCGTATTGTTTTTTAACACTACTCAACGGTGAGTTGTAAATATACACTTTATTCTTAAACGTGCGATTATAATTCTTACTGTATTATTATTATTATTTTAAATCTTGCACGAATTGTAAACATAAAAGAAAATTATTGGCTTAGATCAAAAACAAACATTAGTTAGTGCTGGTTAAATTAAGTAAATGAGGAAATTAATGGGTAAACTGAAAGGTTTTGGTGATGAAATGTCAACGTTGAAAAATTTCTTCTTCGTGTTCTTTCTCTTTACCTTTGAAGGATAAGTGTTTAAGTTTGTAGGCAAGTTTAATATTTGTAAATTTTAATTTAAGTTTTATTTATTTTTTTTTCCTCCGTCTTTCTTAATTTTATTAATTATTATTATTTAAATGAGAGAATCGATATCTTTTAAAAGTATCTAAGAATTTAATTTTGCTGATGGTAGGTTTGGGAATATTTTACAATTTCCTAAATTTCTTTTGGCAGTTTACCAATATTTAACTCGTAAAAGCATTGTTTAAACTCGCACTTTTACCTTTTCCGTTCTACCTTTAAAAAAAAAAAATAAAAAAAATTTATAACTATAAAACGAGACCATTTAACAAGATTGTATCTCTTAAATTCATCTTTTGCTTTTATGAGTCTTGATAAACTATTGTTTTTTTTATGATTTTTAAGTAAAAAACAAAAGAAACATAAATCGTATTTGTTGAAGAAAACATATCTGGGCGAATTATTTAATCAATTTGCTTTTGGCCGCAGCTGTTCAGTCAATGTTTGTTAAACATCATATAAAATTTCGGACAAAATTTCTACTTTTATTTAATCATTTTTCTCGAATTTTATTGACGGCCCTTCTATATATATTTTTTTTATTAATCCCTTAATCAAAATTTAGAATGATTTTAATTAAAAATCGAATATGCAAATTAAAGCAGCGGGTTGTCGTGCAAACAAAAGTTTACTTTCCAGTAAACTCTGAGAGAGTGTTTTCAAATTACCGCTTTAAGAAATTTGACTGAAAATTATATTGTAATCAATGCTTTTTCGATTTTTAACTTTTCTATTTTAAATCTATGTTTTTTTTTTTTTTCGTAAATGTTATTTGAAAAATTTGAGAAAATTCTACTTTCAATTTAATTTAAATAAGATTTGCACAGTTTGAATGAAAGAGAAATGTATAAAAGGGAAAAAAAGAAAAAAAAAGAATTCTTTTCTTAATCTATTCTAGTAAAAACACTTGGAAAAAGTACAAGAAAGGTAATGTAACAATTAACCGAAGTTACGAGATTGAAGGAAAAATACTAAATAAAATATCTTACAATATAGAATTTGCATTATGTATTTTATTTTATAAGAAGATTTTATTCATAAATTATTACTTTATAAGCGATATATTAATACGTTATATACAGAAAAATTCAACAAAAAAAGAAACAACAGCTTCTAATGAAAACAAAATAACTTACTCGAAGGAAAAGTCAACACTTAATAAACTGCAACTCGTGAAGATTCATTAGAAAACTAGAAATAAGGAGAGATTTTTTTTATTATTATTGTTTTCCTTTTCTTTTTTATATTCTACAGAAATTGTATTATTATTATCATTTATTTTTCTATTAATTATACATCGAACTTGTTACCTTTTCTAATTTCAAATCATTCATCATAGTATATTAATCATCAAAAATTTTTATTTGTTCTTTATTATTGGAAAAATTTATTTTCCATTGAAAATTATTAATTAATGGTTTCGAGAAAAATTTAAATTAAATTTCGTATACTTTTATAAAATTCGGATCGTCATAAAAAGGAAAAATAAATAAATAAAAATGCAGTAATTTCGATTAAACGAGATAAAACAGTTGAAAAATTAGCGAAGTGAAATCATTAGATTTAAGATAATAATAATAAAAAAAAAAGAAACGAAAGTTTAATACTACTTTTCGATCAAATTTAATTCGTGATAAGCCGAAAATACTGATTTGTATACAGTCGACCCCCCTATAACACTCTTGATTTTTCCGTTTTATATGAATTCCATGTTGTACGAGTCACTTAGATTTTAAAAATACGTGTTCCGGGCTGTGATCGGCTCACGTATTTGTAAAATCTAAGTGACTCGTACAACATGGAATTCATATAAAACGGAAAAATCAACAGTGTTATAGGGGAGTCGACTGATATTATGAAAAAAATTATACTCTTTTATGACTATAATTTTTTTATATAATAAAATAGTTTTCGTATGGCAAAACCGAATTATTTGCTTATTAAACAAGTTTTCTAGTAACATTAATGAAAGTTTAATGAAAAATGATTTAACAATGAAAAGAGCGTGACGAGGGCAACACTGTAAGCTAATTGAATTATCTCAAACGTGTCCTTTATAAATTAGAAAAGTTATAAAATAAATAAATAAATAAATAACGAATAATTGTATAATTATTATCATACCAATTTAACTTTTCTAATTGTTGTAATTAAGAAAATTTTTTTTTAATCTTTTGCTTAAGCGTAACCATCAGGTCTACTGTATTTATATCTCTGAGGTAATTAATTTAAAGATAATTAATCGACTTTTATGAAAAATATATAATAAATTTTAAGTTATTATTATTATTATTTTTTTAAATTTAGATACGAAATTTCTACGATATTAATAATAATTCTTTCTATACGACATTGAGTAAATGGTGTTAAAGACATTCTTCTACGCTAAAGAAAACATTGTTAAAACATTATTTAATTAATGTATTTTGATTAGTCAAAGGTTATTTGGTAAATAATATATATATATAAAGCGATTATATTGGGCGTTAAACTTAATTTTATCTTAGAATTTCCATATAAATGGAAACCGCAGCTTAAATTAGTTTCTATCTGTTATTTTTAGTTATTATTGGATTTATAATACACGATAACGTTGATGGAATGATAGAGTATTGTGGTACTGAATTATTATCTGCTTTAAAAACCAATATGCTTTATAACCAGGTTAGAAAACGAGATATGTCAAAGCTTCTTATCCGAAATAGTTTGAATGTGGACATATTTTCGTACAATAGTATAAATAAAAGTGACAGGTGACAATGGAGATCCAGATATAATCTATTTTCTTCTATAAAATTTCCAAAAAGAAATAAAAAAAAGAAATTTCTGAAATCTCCTCGATGTCATTTATGTCATAGAAACGGTTAATGTCGGAGGAGTTATCTTCTTTAATTTAATTAAAAAAAAAAAAAACACAACCGAACGAAAGAATAGATAGATTTAATTGGCTGATTAGACATTAATTTATTGTTTTAATTATCTTATTCCAGGTATTAATGCTAATCCAGATGCGAAGAGATTATACGATGATTTGATTTCTCGTTATAACAAACTCGTTCGTCCTGTTATGAATGTTTCAGATCCAATGACTGTTCATATCAAGTTAAAACTGTCACAGTTAATTGAAGTGGTAGGTATGGTCTAATCTGGTGTAAGAAAACACTTATCTATTTCAGATATTTCACTTTAAAATCTAGAACCCTATAAACCTTTCTTATAAAAATATATATATAAATTCTATTCAAAATGGAACGAGTTCTTCAGAGTGCATGTGTCGAAGGGGAGCCGTCAAAATTCCACTATTTAGAAAGTATGAATAGAATCCCGTGTAGAAATATACTGCTAGCTTTAAAAAAAAAGAAAGTGGGTATTGAAAAGAATAGAAATCTAATCTAGCATATTAAAGTGAAAGCAGAATTTTTTTTTAAGTAAAAGCTAAATTAAATTTCCGATTTTAAACTTATGGTTCATTGGCGAGAATAATTCTACTTGCAGTCATCCGTCAGTGAAGATCACCTTCGGCAATCTTCTACACAATACACGGTAGCTTGAGAGTATTTGTTGGTCTCGTAGTAAATATTTTATTTTATATTATCAATTGGTAAAAACTCCTTTTTTTTAATATAATAAACACGCAAATGCTTCCATTCTTTGCTTCTCTCACTCTTCAAAATGGCGCCCACTTTAAGCGATTTAATTTGTATTATCTTCATGGAAATACAGTATTTTTTTATCATACATTTACTACTTTTATTTATTTCGTGGATAAATTTAAAGATAAGCGAGTACTTTAATGGCGAATCATGCTTATGTTTTGTCGATTGGTTTGTTTGTTATGACAGTGCATGGAAATTAACTCGAAAATATTGATCCTTTGAGCGAAAATAATTTGTTGTAAAGGTATTACAGAGGCCTACACTGTTTTTTTTTTTTTTTTATTTTTTCTTCTATTCGATACACCTTTAACTATTAGAACAACATTAATCGGATATTTTAAACATTATGCTTAATTACTCGCAGAAAGTTAAATGATGCACATTCGGTATTTTAAATTACCTAATTAAGGGACGGTAAGGATTTCGAATTCCAAATTAAAATCGGTACAGAAGTGTTTATAAAAAGAAAAAAAAAATGAAGTAACAACGCAAGACGATTCGTCTCTTAATTACTATTATTTGAATTCAAATTTTTCATCATACCTCATCTATCTACTACTTTCTCCCTCCAGTTTGCTTATCTAAATCACCTTTAACAGTTTTGTTTCTTCCAATAATTTTTATCGAAATGGGATTAAGACGTAAACTAGTAATAAAACATATAAAAATAATGGAAATTTTTACAAAAATTTCTCTACATATAAATTTTTTTAAACCCCCTTTCTTCTATTATATTTCACGTCGTATCTTTGTGTGTGTGTATGTGTGTTCCTTTATTTTACATTACGAGATAAAAGTTGGTGTAATGAGATAAAAGACTTTTGCTCAAGTAAATTTATTAGATTGATCTATTCTCTCTCATATGTATTTTAGTCTCACCTGCTCTCCTGATTGTTTTAAACAGTTTATCCGTGACAAGAAAAATATAAAAATATCCTTGATTAAATAAACATACAAAACACTGTCTAGTAATTTAAATATAGAATAAATTCAATCTTGTTATTCGTCGATACATTTAATATTATGCATTAAAATTCAGAAATATAATAAAGTTTGACTAAGTATAAATATTTTTTTTTTTTATTTTCCTCTTTCTCTTCCCTTTTCTTTAGCATCTTCTGATGTAATAATTAAGAGTAGATATTACTTTAAATATTTTTTTTCCTTTTGTATACAAATTTTTTTACATATAAAATTGCATTATTTCGTCAATTTATTAATAAATAAAACGAGAAAGTACATATAAAAAGTGAGAAATAGAATAATTAAATTACACAATCTGTTGAACCAAGTTTATTTAATTAAAAAATTCATTTTGACGTAGTAAGAACACACACATTTCTTCGTAAATAAAATGTGATTTTATTTTTAAATCAATATTTTAACAATAAATTAAAATAATATATTCCCTTTAATTATTAATTTTTAACTCATTATAGTAATAAATTTTTGTCGTAGGAATTTATATTAATAAAAGGCATCAAAGGAGCCATTATGTTAATATTTGATATCGACTATAAATAATAATTTTCAATGTTTACGTTCTAGTTTGTTTGTTTAAAATTAATTTCTCCTTATTGTACAGGTGTTCTGTACTTATAAGATGGATCTTTATACTTTTAAAATGATAAAATAACGTGTCCTGTACTTATAAAATGGATAAAATTATAAGATTCATTAAGTATATCTTATTAAGAAACTCTTTTTATTTTTAAATATAATGATTCATAAGTTAGTTCTTGATGGTTATTACATTTTTGGTAATTTATTTAAAATCTGTAAATTTAGAAAATTTCTAAACTCATAATATTTCCTAAGGGATAGAGAAATCTCATCATAAATTCTACTAACATATCACTAGTCAAAACTGTGAAGGGATGCTTAAGTATATAAGTGTATAAGAGCGCTTTAGATACACGAAAATCTGGTTAATGATAAATTTAATATGTACAGTATCACCTAATACGAAAGAGTATTCGACTTGGCTATTCAGTTTAATATTTCTTTATATAGAAACTCGAAAAAAAAAAAAAATAGATACCGAGAATGTAGTAAAGACATTCGCTACAAACCCCGGATTTTCAATAAGATCTGGCACCTTGCCACACATCAAAACTAGGTGTGTATAAATTTTATTTCCACTATATTCATTTTCATCCATTACATTTCTGTTTTCAGATGCATAAAAATTCACACACGTCGCTCCGAATACACGTGTACAACTTTAATATTTATTAATATAAATTCAAATGAAAATGTTAAAAGTCTATGGTAATAAAAGAAAAAAGAAAGAAGTTAAATTTATATATATATATATAAAAAATATCCTTGATTCTTACATACAAACTTTAAATTACAAGTCGACCCCCCCTATAACACTTGATTTTTCCGTTTTATATGAATTCCATGTTGTACGAGTCATTTAGATTTTACAAATACGTGTGCGGGGCTGTAAACGGCTCACGTATTTGTAAAATCTAAGTGATTCGTACAACATGGAATTCATATAAAACGGAAAAATCAACAGTGTTATAGGGGGGTCGACTGGTGTAAAGTCAATACAAGTTTGTTTATAACTACAATGAAAACTTGTTGCTTACTTCAAATATTTTATTTTATTGATTTCTAAATTATAAAAATAATAAATTTTATTTATTTACTATAAAAAAAAAGTATAAATATTTAGAGAATTTTGTATTTTGTATTATTTATAACCGGGAGTAAGAGTGCATTTGGTGTATTGTTTCTTTCGGGACGAATGGATAAACAAAAGTAGAGAAAATTACACTTGTTATATGTTTTATAACAATACTTATTTTGTTATATAATGCATAAAATGTGTATTTAACATAGAAGTTCGAGATGTTATATCTTTTCTTTACACGAGCGATCAATAATTAATTAAGAATTCCATACCAAAACTTCTGTTGCTGTAATTTTTGTTCCTTTACCTAAAAATTTCTTTATTTCTTAATTTTCAGTTGAAATTGATAAAAGAAACGAAATTAAAATATCTCAAAAAAACATTTATTTTTTCAATATTTTAGTAAGTATAANAAAATAATAAATTTTATTTATTTACTATAAAAAAAAAAGTATAAATATTTAGAGAATTTTGTATTTTGTATTATTTATAACCGGGAGTAAGAGTGCATTTGGTGTATTGTTTCTTTCGGGACGAATGGATAAACAAAAGTAGAGAAAATTACACTTGTTATATGTTTTATAACAATACTTATTTTGTTATATAATGCATAAAATGTGTATTTAACATAGAAGTTCGAGATGTTATATCTTTTCTTTACACGAGCGATCAATAATTAATTAAGAATTCCATACCAAAACTTCTGTTGCTGTAATTTTTGTTCCTTTACCTAAAAATTTCTTTATTTCTTAATTTTCAGTTGAAATTGATAAAAGAAACGAAATTAAAATATCTCAAAAAAACATTTATTTTTTCAATAAATAATCATAAAATTATTTTCCTTGAATTATTATTATTATTTAAAAAAAAAAAATATTTATTCATCTTATTATCATCTTGACTTATAATTATTCTACGTAAGAAAATTTATTCAAATGATGTAATTATTTTTCGATAACGTTTTAAATAAGTAATTAGATAAATCTAATGTGTTAAAAAAAATTATCATTTAAATCTAAGTAATTTTTTTTTCATATACTTGTAATTAGTAATGATTAAAGAAAAAAACACATTCATCTTTTATAATTTTAGAATTTGAAAAATCAAATAATGACGACAAATCTGTGGGTAGAACAAGTAAGTTAATAAAAGTTATTTTTAAATAATTAAATATTTTATATATTATATTATTATTTTATTAACTTTATTTATTCTCAGTATTGGCACGATTATAAGCTTACTTGGGATCCAAAAGAGTACGGAGGAGTGGATATGCTTCATGTGCCTTCCGATCATATTTGGAGACCAGATATCGTGCTTTATAACAAGTAAATACCCGAATTTTCTATATAATTTTACTAAAAATATATTTAAAAATTTATATTTTTTAAATATATTGCTCGGTATTCTTATTTTCTAAACTATTTTGTACTTATCCCACTCGACTGTGTTAAGATAATAATTGTTTCCTGTTAAAAAAAAATAATAATAACTCATTAAAAATGAATAAATATATGGAAAATATAGAATATAATGTATATTTTATTTAAAAAAACAAATAAAAAGTGGTGACTTTCAAAGAATGAAATTCGAGATGAAGTATAAAAAAGTAAGCTTTTATGTTTATTTCGAATGAAGAATTCTCGATGAATAATTTACAAAGAACAGAACAAAACAAGATTCTTTTCTCAAAAATTGTTTACAGATGTAACAAAACAGCTTACACTCGTGAAATATTTCAAACTAACTTAAGAAATAATTCAAAAGTTTTCAAGAAAATTCATTCAGTTATCGATGCTTATTTAAAAGATTATTCTTTAATTCATATATTCCTTTTTTTTTATTTGCATAAATTTAAAATAATATTCTGGTATTTATTTATTTTTATTTTTTTATATATAATCTCGCCGTGTAAGATTAGAAATTTTTTGGATTTTTATCTCTCCTTTTTTTTATTATTATTATATTGTAGAGCTAAATACAATAAGTATTATATGTAGGATAATAAATCACATAGATATGAACAATATGAATAGTTTTAAAATAATGATATGGATAGACTAAGTTTCATTTCTTAAAAGCTCTTTTTGACATATTTTCATAGATCATGGAATTTTTATCTCCATCATCACACGATTTGTTCTCTCGAATTGAAATTAAATTTGAATTTATAGGGCAAGATACGTTTTTATAAGTTTAATCGCTTTTTATGATTTTTCCATTTTTATGCTGTAAAATAAAATATATATACGTAATCATTTTAATATTTTAAACGAAAATAATTTTATCGTTATGATGTAGCCGCATTTAGTTTAGTTGAGTAACTTTTTAAACAGAAATGTTCTTTGCCTTAGTAAGCTAAACAGAAATTTTTTTTTTTTTGCTCTACCAAGTTAAACAGAAACGGTTTTCTGCTCTAAGGTACTAAACAGAAAAAGTTTCTGCCCTAGGGAATTAAACACAATGGCTTTCTGCTCTAGGGTACTAAACAGAAGGGTTTTCTGCTCTAGGGTATTAAACAGAAAGGTTTTCTGCTCTAGTGGATTAAACAGAAGGGTTTTCTGCTCTAGGTTACTAAACAGAAAGGTTTTCTGCTCTAGGGGATTAAACAGAAGGGTTTTCTGCTCTAG